GAATAGCCTGCCACATCCAGGGTCCAGAGGTGTGGAAATACATCCTTGGGGCCCATGAGCAGCTGCTTTTTCGTGTAGCAAGGTGTAATGCCTTGGGTGGCAGGAAACTGCTCTTGGCCAAAGCAGCGCTGTGGGAGAAGAGCGCTGGCCTGTCTTCCCATGGGAATTCATTTCTCCCAAGGAGAGAGCACAACGAACCCAACCACATACCACTACCTGTACCTACAGACAACTACTACCCAACAACTAACATCACTAACGAGTGGCTTGTGACAAGCTCTAGGAAATCTACTCTAGGAAAAGAAAGCTGCACACCACTTGTGTACACACCTTGTTGATCTTCCCGCCGGTGAAACAGTCAAACCGTTTCAGACACACGGTCAGAACCTTGGGTGCACAGTGGATTGTGAACCTCTTGGAGGCAGCAACATTCTCCGTACACCTTGAAAGCAAGCACAGACACAGCCCAGTGCTGAAATGCACCCAATCTTCCCCCAAGCTGGCCAGGCAACCTCTCCTGTCTCACACAGCTTTTGTTATTCTAAGGCTCTTCACTGCCATATTTGCAAAAAGCTGCATCTCATCCTGCGCGCAGTAAATCTGCACAGGAAGATGACTTCTCTTCAATGACATGCAGCCCCCTCCAACAGCATCCCGTCTTACTCTGGATGTCTTAGTAATCATCTCACTTGTTGCATTTAAAGCAGTTTTCACCATCCAGCTGCTCAGGTGTCACAAAGGCTTCCAGAGCTGCAGTGAGGGACGAGGCTGCCTGGAGGAGTGAGAAATGGGCACGCTGAGCTGCAGGAAATGCCCTCACCCAAGCATTTCCCAGAAGCTGACCAGAAAAGCCCCATAGCTGACGCTGAAGAGACCCACCATGAACCTATCCAGAAGGAGGCAGAAAGAGAGTGTGACGCTGAACACCTCCCCGTCTCCCAGCAGCTCCTGGAGCTGTCAAGAGCTCTGTCCCTGTGCCCCCGCTCAGTTCAACTAATGACAGTGTGCAGGGGCATCAGTGGTGCAAACTACAATGCAAACAACCCTTCAGCCTGGGAGCCAGACAGGTGTTACGGGAGGGCAGGCAAAGAGAAGAAGGATGACGATGTATCAAGGGTGCAGAGAGGATAATTGCTGTTTGTCCAGGTTAAAAACAGCACCTGCAGAGAGCCCAGTGCCACAGCCTCTGCAGGGGGACGCTATCCATTGCCCTTCCCACCCACCACCAAGACCTCTTGTGTTCACAGGCTATATTTTTAAGACAAATGTGTTGCAGGGCCTTGGGATGTCTTGTAGCACAACTGCAAAGCCTCTTACATTGATATCCAAAGGAACATCCAGGAAGGCCTCGTAGGAGTCAGAAACGGCTTTGCAGCTGCAGCAGGTGACTGGAAGGGAAAATCCAAATGCTCAGCAATGGCAAGCTGACTGGCATTGCCCATTTACACATTGCACCTGTCCCACCAGTCCCAGGACCAAGTGTCAAGCACAGGCAGACAGAAGGGCACGGGCAATGTCAAGGAGAGTAATAGCTGTGGAAACGCACCTCTGGATCTCAGAAAGCCCCCAAATATTTGATGGACAATGGTAGTGGATTCAGAAGAGAGGTCCAAGCTGGAAACAAGTGATAAGACACAGCGTTATCTCCTCCATGAGTTTTGCTTGGCCTGAAAGCCCAGGGTTTAGGTTTCCCTTGATGGTGGCACATCAAGCAGTCCAAAGGGCTCCGAGCTTTGTGAGGGTGATTGCCTTGTGCTTACTCGCTGCTTGCGCTCAGACAAGCTCTCTGCATGGCATTGACCGTACAGCACAAGAAGTCATGGGCATCTTCCTGCATACCAAGCTGAAAATGTTCTCCTATGCCTAAGAAAGAAGAAGTTTGTCCTTTTCTCATACACAAAGGGAAGAAAAGCTGTCAAAAGCACCTGCCATGACTTACGTCCAAAAACCTTGAGGACAGCCCAAGGCACGATGGCACTGACAGGGGAATGCAAGACCTTGTTAACGTGTGCTTCCATGGTGCACATCATGCAGAAACCTTGCTGCTGACCTGAACAGAGACACAGGGAAAGTCTTTAGGTTAGCCAAATATCCATAGCAGTGCGATCCTCCTCCTCGTCTTTCACTCCAGCGCAATACTCCACTCCTCCCAATGACCCAACGATCCCAGGACATTTTAGTGTGTGGAAAATGTTCTTAACAGGGATGCCGGACCAACAGTTTTCTGTGCAATAAGCCAGGAGGCTTTAACTTGCCGGAATAAAGACTTGGAGCTAGAAAGAGGTGTCTTCAGGAAGGGTAAGACAGCTGGCAAGGACAAGTGGCTTCTATAGAGACTTGAGTGTTCAAAGAACATCAATTCATGGGGCTGATAAAGGGCTGCTGTTCTCCTAAATCTAATTCCAGGTTCTGGGAATCTTTGGTATTGGATTAACACATATTCAGGAGGGGTTCCCAAAAGCACTCACAGGCCTTGCTGTGCTCTCGGGACAGCAGGTAGTTGGCCAGTGGCGGGGTGTAGGTCAAACACTGCAGGACAGCGTTGAGAAAGCACGTGTTGCCCACATTGAAGAGCCCCGCTCCAGCACTCTGCTGCTGCTGCCAGACCATGTAAATCTTCTCCAGTGGAAAGAGGATCCTTTTTGGGGGAGCTATTCCCTCAGCAATGACTGCAGAGAAATTCCATTTGAAAAGAGTCGAGGTACTGCTTGTACCAGCTGCTGAACTGCAGTCTCCCATCTTTGTGATCAGTGACAGTGCCCCAGTTCACAGGAGCATCAAAGGTCATTCTGAAGTGCTCCAGTCCATGGTACTTTCTCTGAAGAGGCTCTGCTGTACCTGCTGCTGCTGCTGTCACCGCATCAGCAGCAGAGCTCTCTAGTTTTCCCACCTCTTCCACAGGAATGACCAGCGTTCACCCACTAACTTAACTACTGCCTTTGCTGGTCTCCTTTCTCTGTGATCACTTCCTCCTGGGAATTACTAAGCCTTTTAGACTAGACTAATTAAAACCTTCTAGACTAGTCGTTGGCATCATCAGCCATAAAACTAAATTGTTCCCTCTTCTTTGGGAATGGGTGTAGAAAACATGGACAGCTCTGCCAAAAAATGCAGTGCTAATTTCCCATTCTGCTTCAGCCAGCGCCACCATCTGCCACCAGCACTCCTAGAGTGCCTCGAGTGCTTCCCTGACCTGCGTCTCTGGGGCACACAAACCCTCCTTTTCCTCACTGAACGGTGGTGGGCTGAAAAACGCACGAACCGGCAGCAGAAATCGTAGCCCAGCTGTGGGCAGCTTCTCTGCTCCCTCAGCCTCAGTTGGATTTGCTCCCAAGCTGCCCTGAGCACACAAGCCTGCTGGAAGCTGATGTTGGAGGGCCCTGAAGCTGCATTATCCACTGGGGCTTTGTCCCATCCTGGAGGATTTGTTCTCCTCCTCTTGGTCACAGAGGGCTGCTGGTCTGTGCACTGCACAGAGAGGCCATGGAGGTCACAGCCCTGCTCTGGGGATCTTCTCTGCTCGTTCCACCACAGTTGGGTTTGCTCTGGACCAGCCCAAAGCATGACAGCCTGCTTCAGGCTGGTGCTGGAGGGCCCTGGAACTGCATCATCAACAGGAGTTTTGTCACAACAGGGAGAATTCCTTGTCTCCCTTTTCCTCTTCCTTGATGAAGAGTTGAAGCCTGTGTGGTCGTAGCCGCTCCACACGGAACTGCTTGTCTCTTCCTGCATCAGCAGGGTTTCCTGACAAGCATCCCCAGGTCCACAGGCCAACTCCAAGCTCCTGTTGGAAGGCCCTGAAGCAGTATCATCTATGGGATCATGGCCACAACTTGGAGGAGGCCCTGTGGCGTCATCACAGCCGGTGGTGTCCGTAACAAAGCTGCAGGCTTCCTTGCTCCACAGTGGGGATCCGCTCTGCACCTCGTCCTGGCCAGGGTCTTCCACACTCAGCACCACATCCTGGAAAAAGAGCTGTGCAGAGTTCCTGCCCTTCTCTCCTGAAAGGACCAGAGTCAGTGGGGAAGCCCCAGAAGCTCTGGGAGGGCACATTTCAGAGCCTCCCAAAGGCCCTTCTGGAGGGCTGCCAAGGCCAAAGGGCCAAAGGCACACAAATGGCATGGATGCAGGAGGCATGCTTTGACAGGAAGCAGCATTGTGGCTGTGAAGAATGCTGCCAGGGTGCCAGGGGAAAAGGGAGAAATGCTGAGATCCTAGAAAGAAATCCACAGCTCCTGTGGTGCCCTGACTCTCCTCCCCAGTTACCTTTGTCCTGTCAGGCAAAACCTGTGGGACTACAGAAGCCACCTGCTTGCTGCAGGCTGCCCACTGACTGAGGACGGATGGCGCATATGATGGTGCCAGCGAGGAAGAAGCCTCTTCTCCAAGCCTCAGATCAGAGCATCTGCAGAAAAAAACAGTGATCTCACTTTAGGGCTGTTGTTGCAGCCTCCTCTGGGCTTCATTCATTTTCTTGGAGAGGTTTCTATGACAGAGCAACTTAGCCAAGGTCACAAATGAAAAGGTCAACCAGAGTATTCCCACCCGGCCTGCTTCTGTCCCAGCAAAACCTCATCTTTCTACCTTCTACAGCCTCCATTCCATAAATTCACACACTTGTTTGCCTTGGAAGGGACCTTAAAGCTCCTTTTGTTCCACTCCCGCTCATGGCCAGGAATACCTTACAATAGACCTGGATCCTCCAAGCCCCATCCAACCTGGCCTTGAACTCTTCCAGGGATGGGGCACCCACAGCTTCTTTGGGCAGCCTGTTCCATTGTCTCACCTGGCATAAAACAGCAGGTAGGCCTGCTGCCCGAGAGCTGTGTCAATGCTACGAACCTCCACAGACTCATCATCCATCTGGTACCACAGCCCGTTGCTGGCCTGTGAAAAAAAAGGCAAGGATCTCTGCATGGCTTCTCACCAAAAACACGGGCAGAAAACTACCTAACAAAGAGTGTGCCAAAAGAAATCCAGTGCAGCCCCTAAGGAGACCTTCTGGCCCACAACCTTGGCCGTCGGTAATACCCACAGGAAAGTTCCTCTTCTCCAGCACGCCTTCTCCTCGTTGGGAAGGAAGGAAGGAAGGAAGGAAGGAAGTTGCTGTTTACCTTTGTGTAGCAGAAATAGTGTCCTTCATGGCAGCTGTAGCCACTGTGCACCAGGACAGCATACAGGGAGTAATAGAGGGGCTCTCCATCGCCCTCGGACATGTACGGGCGGAGATCCAGGAACTCGGGGTACTCCACAGCCTACAGAGACACCAGGAGGGCTCAGAGGTGACCCTGACCTGGGACAGAGAATAGCCTGCCACATCCAGGGGCCAGAGGTGTGGAAATACATCCTTGGGGCCCATGAGCAGCTGCTTTTTCGTGTAGCAAGGTGTAATGCCTTGGGTGGCAGGAAACTGCTCTTGGCCAAAGCAGCGCTGTGGGAGAAGAGCGCTGGCCTGTCTTCCCATGGGAATTCATTTCTCCCAAGGAGAGAGCACAACGAACCCAACCACATACCACTACCTGTACCTACAGACAACTACTACCCAACAACTAACATCACTAACGAGTGGCTTGTGACAAGCTCTAGGAAATCTACTCTAGGGAAAGAAAGCTGCACACCACTTGTGTACACACCTTGTTGATCTTCCCGCCGGTGAAACAGTCAAACCGTTTCAGACACACGGTCAGAACCTTGGGTGCACAGTGGATTGTGAACCTCTTGGAGGCAGCAACGTTCTCCGTACACCTTGAAAGCAAGCACAGACACAGCCCAGTGCTGAAATGCACCCAATCTTCCCCCAAGCTGGCCAGGCAACCTCTCCTGTCTCACACAGCTTTTGTTATTCTAAGGCTCTTCACTGCCATATTTGCCAAAAGCTGCATCTCATCTGCGTGCAGTAAACCTGCACAGGAAGATGACTTCTCTTCAATGACATGCAGCCCCCTCCAACAGCATCCCGTCTTACTCTGGATGTTCTTAGTAATCATCTCACTTGTTGCATTTAAAGCAGTTTTCACCATCCAGCTGCTCAGGTGTCACAAAGGCTTCCAGAGCTGCAGTGAGGGACGAGGCTGCCTGGAGGAGTGAGAAATGGGCACGCTGAGCTGCAGGAAATGCCCTCACCCAAGCATTTCCCAGAAGCTGACCAGAAAAGCCCCATAGCTGACGCTGAAGAGACCCACCATGAACCTATCCAGAAGGAGGCAGAAAGAGAGTGCGACGCTGAACACCTCCCCGTCTCCCAGCAGCTCCTGGAGCTGTCAAGAGCTCTGTCCCTGTGCCCCCGCTCAGTTCAACTAATGACAGTGTGCAGGGGCATCAGTGGTGCAAACTACAAAGCAAACAACCCTTCAGCCTGGGAGCCAGACAGGTGTTACGGGAGGGCAGGCAAAGAGAAGAAGGATGACGATGTATCAAGGGTGCAGAGAGGATAATTGCTGTTTGTCCAGCTTAAAAAGAGCACCTGCAGAGAGCCCAGTGCCACAGCCTCTGCAGGGGGACGCTATCCATTGCCCTTCCCACCCACCACCTAGACCTCTTGTGTTCACAGGCTATATTTTTAAGACAAATGTGTTGACTTTGGGAAGCAGCTGCAGGGCCTTGGGATGTCTTGTAGCACAACTGCAAAGCCTCTTACATTGATATCCAAAGGAACATCCAGGAAGGCCTCGTAGGAGTCAGAAATGGCTTTGCAGCTGAAGCAGGTGACTGGAAGGGAAAATCCAAATGCTCAGCAATGGCAAGCTGACTGGCATTGCCCATTTACACATTGCACCTGTCCCACTAGTCCCAGGACCAAGTGTCGAGCACAGGCAGACAGAAGGGCACGGGCAATGTCAAGGAGAGTAATAGCTGTGGAAACGCACCTCTGGATCTCAGAAAGCCCCCAAATATTTGATGGACAATGGTAGTGGATTCAGAAGAGAGGTCCAAGCTGGAAACAAGTGATAAGACACAGCGTTATCTCCTCCATGAGTTTTGCTTGGCCTGAAAGCCCAGGGTTTAGGTTTCCCTTGATGGTGGCACATCAAGCAGTCCAAAGGGCTCCGAGCTTTGTGAGGGTGATTGCCTTGTGCTTACTCGCTGCTGGCGCTCAGACAAGCTCTCTGCATGGCATTGACCGTACAGCACAAGAAGTCATGGGCATCTTCCTGCATACCAAGCTGAAAATGTTCTCCTATGCCTAAGAAAGAAGAAGTTTGTCCTTTTCTCATACACAAAGGGAAGAAAAGCTGTCAAAAGCACCTGCCATGACTTACGTCCAAAAACCTTGAGGACAGTCCAAGGCACGATGGCACTGACAGGGGAATGCAAGACCTTGTTAACGTGTGCTTCCATGGTGCACATCATGCAGAAACCTTGCTGCTGACCTGAACAGAGACACAGGGAAAGTCTTTAGGTTAGCCAGGTATCCACAGCAGTGCGATCCTCCTCCTCCTCCTCTTCCACTCCAGCGCAATACTCCACTCCTCCCAATGACCCAACGATCCCAGGACATTTTAGTGTGTGGAAAATGTTCTTAACAGGGATGCCGGACCAACAGTTTTCTGTGCAATAAGCCAGAGCTTATTATTGCAGGAGGCTTTAACTTGCCAGAATAAAGACTTGGAGCTAGAAAGAGGTGTCTTCAGGAAGGGTAAGACAGCTGGCAAGGACAAGTGGCTTCTATAGAGACTTGAGTGTTCAAAGAACATCAATTCATGGGGCTGACAAAGGGCTGCTGTTCTCCTAAATCTAATTCCAGGTTCTGGGAATCTTTGGTATTGGATTAACACATATTCAGGAGGGGTTCCCAAAAGCACTCACAGGCCTTGCTGTGCTCTCGGGACAGCAGGTAGTTGGCCAGTGGCGGGGTGTAAGTCAAACACTGCAGGACAGCGTTGAGAAAGCACGTGTTGCCCACATTGAAGAGCCCCGCTCCAGCACTCTGCTGCTGCTGCCAGACCATGTAAATCTTCTCCAGTGGAAAGAGGATCCTTTTTGGGGGAGCTAT